CACATTTTCTGACAGCTTCCAGGCAATCCAGTGATTCATTTGCATATTTACCTGGTCAGCTTCAGGTAGATGCCCAATGATGCTTTGGCCGCCTCCAGCATGTCGTCGTCTTGCTCGATAAAGACTCTGGACAGCCACTCGCATGGGTTGTGTTCTTGCAGACTTGGCTGAAGCTGAGGCTTTAGGAAGGCCAGTAACTCGGACATGAAGCTCTGTAAGTCAGCTTCCAAAGATGCAAATGTCAAGGGCAGGCAAGAGTGTATGAACACACAAATAATACCTTGCCTATATATTTTTTCTTCTATTATCTTTTTTTTGTTGTTTTTTCAGTCATGGGACTTGAACTCTGAGCCTGGGCACTGCCCCTCAGCTCTTCAGCTCAAGGCTAACGCTCTACCACTTGAGTCACAGCACCACTTCCAGTTTTCTGGGTGGTTTATTGCAGCTAAGAGTCTCACAGACTTTCCTCCCGGAGCTGGCGTAGACCTCGATCCTCATATCTCAGCCTCCTGAGTAGCTAGAATTACAGACATGAGCCACCAGCGCCCGGCTTCTATTATCTTTAAGTAGTTATACCAAGCAGTTTAAATTCAACTGATCAGTTTGTGATTGCATCTTGATCAGTGTCATCCCTTCCATCATTCTCCCTCGTCTTTCCCAACCCCCACCCCATCCCCTCAGTCTACTTTCTCGTGTTTCAGCACCTTAAGATGCATGATCAAAACACACACCTTGAGAGAAGTGCTGTGAATTAGGAATAATTTGTTTTTACAAATGAGGAAACTGAGGTTAGAGAAAAAAAGTAACACAAGAACATTAGTTTAACACATAGAGTCAGGTCACCTATTTGCCACAACTACCAAGGAACTAGTTAATTTGTGAGAAATCACATGACTGCTTGAGAAAAGCACAGACATAAGTGAGCAAAGAACTCAGCTGTTTCAGGCGCTGGTGGCTCACACCTGTAATCCTATGTACTCAGGAGACTGAAATGTGAAGGTAGTTTGAAGCCAGCCTGAGCAGACAAATTTAGAGATTCTATTTCCAATTAATAAGTGAAAAGCCAGAAGTGGAGGCATGGTTCAAATAGCAGAGTGCCAGCTGTGAGAGAAAAAGCTGAAGGAGAGTGCAAGGCCCTGACTTCAAGCCCTGGTACTGGCAGACAAATAAAAAAAGAAAACCAAGATCTCTTCTTCAGATATCAAAGCTGCACAATGCAATGAAAGACACAAAAAAACTTGCCCTCAAAATAACAGAGAAAGACATTTTTATTTGTTTAAAGCACTGAAAGAAAACACTGCTATTGAGCTAAAAATCCAACTGCTCAACTACAATTTAAAATTCTGAATTATGTTAATAGGTGCCACCTAGTGTTGTAAATTGTAACTGCACAGAATTATTAAAAAGCTCACTGATTACTGGGGGAAATCACTGCTTTCAATTCAGACTTACATATCTTTGAAAGCACAGAGAAACATTTACTGTTCAGCTTTCTTGAGAGAAATACAGGACTTGTCTTCCTCAAGACCTATACTGAAAATCATTTTTCTTGGAAATTACATGCAAAAATTTCCCTGTCAGTGAAACTTCATATGTATTAGTTTCACTTTCTAATTCTCATCTCATATATATATATATACACTGATTTTATGATAACATAAATAGAATACTATATTTAAACAATTCCCTCACATTGTTTTGTAATGACTTTAACAGCAACTGGTTTAAACCTAAGACATTCATTTTGGTATAGATATTCAGTTTACCCCCTGAAAGCTGACATGTTTACGTTCATTTCAGTTCTTCTCATGCTTATTTATTCTCTCTTTCCTGATCTCTCTGAAAAGATATTTACTAAATATCCAGGATAAGCTGGGCACTGGTGGCTTATACCTGTAATTCCAGTTACTCAGGAGGCTGAGATCTGAGAATCAAGAGTGGAAGGGCAGCTTAAGCAGAAGATTGTACAAGACTCTACCTCCATTTAATCAGCCAAATGCTGGACAGGAGGTGTGGCCTAGAGGTAGAGTGCCAGCCATGAATAAGTTAAGCCTCTGAATGGACACTAAACAAAAACCAACCAACCAATCAAAAAGCAAAACAAACAAGGCAAAAAATAACAATTTATGCTGTTCCTGAGACTAAAAAATTACCGACTATTTTACTAGAGAAAATAACTGCACATTACTTTGCACGCAAAAAGAGTTTGGAGATTACCTCTCATTTCATTTGCTGAAGTACAGTTTTGGAACTTGATTTCTAAGGATTTCACTGTTAGTAAGCTTGCTGCTCTCAGGATCACATGATCAGGACCGGAAGTATGTCCACATCCAGGCTGAACCTTGTCACCTCCAAAACAGCAACGCTTTCCAGTAACAGAGAACTTCTTCAACAATCCTAGATGCACGGCATGCAAAACAGCCTTAGCTAAAGCCAACGTGTCCATGTCTAGAAGACTGTCTGGGGCCACGGAGGCAGGCACGGGTCCTCTGCAAAGGTCTTCCCCCACTTTCCGGATAAGGCACTTTTTGATGAATATGATCAATTTCCTTTTGACAAAAGCCTGGACAGGCCAGGTGAGAACGTTGAGAACACAAGGTTTCAAAAATACAATCCTTTGGCTCCTCAATTGTAACTCCTGGAAGCTTCTGGAGGCTATGAGAAGTTCAAGCAATTCTAGGAAACCTATCAAGCTGTTTATGACTGTAGAAGGCTCATGGCAGTTTTCAAAATTCTGAGAAAGTAAAGAACTGTAGAATATTTCCAGAGTCGTATCAAAAGGAGTCAGGAATTGCCTTAGAATTTCTGCAATTGTGAAAACAGTAATCATATGCAATAGGAAAAACAGCTTGCTGGAACACAATTTTACACTTCAATTTTTATGTGTATCATTTTCTAAGATGAAAAAAAACAGACTTATAATGCTTACCTTTAGCCAGGTACCAGCGCTTATGCCTGGAATTCTAGTTATATAGGAGGCTGACACATGAGGGTTGCAGTTTGAAGTGAGCCAGGCAGAAAAGTCCACAAGGCTCTAATTCTCAATTAACCAGAAAAAAGCTGGAAGTGGAAGTGTGGCTCAAGTAGCAGAGCACTGAAAAAGCCAAGCAAGAGCATGAGGCTCTGTGTTCAAGCCCCAGAAGTGGAAAATAAATACTCAGAATATTTACCTGTAACACAAGGCAATGAGGACACAGATAAACAATTGTGATCGTGGCAAACGTTTACTTTACAAGTATCTACAGTATCAGGCTGTGCAAAGGAGATACAATAATGAAAGCTTTAAACATTGTCCATACAACCTTTTGTTTCTTGGCAATACTAGAGTTTGAACTCAGGGCCTTTTATTTTAAGCAGAATCTCTACTACTGACACATGCCTCCATCCCTGCTTTTCACCATTTGTCCAGACAGAGTCTGGATTCCTGCCCCGGCATTGGTCTGGACCACAATCAGCCTATTTCAGTCTGGGACTATAGGGGCAGCTTCTTCGAGAGTCTCAGCTTTCTGTTTTGTGTGTGTGTGTGTGTGTGTGTCTGTGTGTGTGTGTGTTTTGTCAGTCGTAGTGCCTGAACTCTGGGCCTGGGTGCTGTCCCTCAGCTGTTCAGCTCAAGGCGAGCGCTCTAACACTTGAGCCACAGTGCCACTTCCGGCTTTTTGTGCTTATGTGGTACTGAGGAATCGAACCCAGGGCCTCATGCATGCTAGGTAAGCACTCTACCATTGAGCCACCTTTCTCCCTGTGTTGGCCTGACCCATGATCCTCCCAGGCTCAACCTCCCAAGTAGCTTAGGATGACAGGAATGCACATGGCACCTACGTATGGGTTCTGCCCAGAATGGCCTTGATCTGTGATCCTCCCATTCTCAGCCTCCTGAGTAGCTAGGATTACAAGTGTGAGCTATAACTTCTGTGTAAGTGGTTATCTTAAATCAAAAAGACATGGGGAGAGATTCTATAGTTTTTCATATTAGAGCAATAAGGCATAAAATAAGCTTCATTGTGCAGGATAAATACAATGCTCCTGTGGTGAGGCATTAATGTAAGGTGAGGGCGATGTAACTCATACCTGTTTTTTGGGGACATGTGTCTTTAAAGATTTCTTTGATTCCAGCTGTAAGAGTCCAGATGCAATGTACTACTGCGCCCCCATCAGGGTGTCCAGAAAGGTTTTTTTGGCAAAAAGCAATCCAGGAGTTACTTAATGGTATCTACAAGTGAGGTAATAAGAAAAAGCAATTATAACTCAGCATTTTCTTTATAATTACAAATCACCTACTACACACAACTATATATGACACTGTTTACTTGTTCACCTGAAAGAAGTATAATACCTGATTTTAAAAAGAAGAAACTGCTGAGCACCAGTAATACTACCTAGTCAGGAGGCAGAGGTCTGAGGGTCACCATTCAAAGCCAGGCTGAGCAGTGAGACTCTTATTCCCAATTAACCAGCAAAAAGCTGGAAGGGGAGATGTGGCTTAAGTGGTAGAGTGCCAGCCCTGAGCATGAAAGCTAAGACCCAGCATACACGCCTTGAGTTCAAGCCCCAGCACTGGCACAAAAGCAGACAGAGAAGCCCAGAAATATCCTTATATTCTTCAAGTCAAGAAATTCAATATGCAATAGAAATGAAGCCATGAAAGTATTAGTGGTATTATTTATAGATGATGGAGTAATGTCTAATTTTTATGTTGCTTTTCATGTTGTATTTTCTAAATATTTCCACTAAAATAACACATTTTATATTCAGAAAAAGTATCTTTATTTTGGGCAGTATTGGGAGTTGGACTCACTTGAGCTATGTGTACATACACACACACACATACGTACACACACATATATATACATATGCTTCTTTTCTTTTGTGTATATGTGTATGTTTCATATATATATATATGCTAATTTAATTTAATTTTTTTGGTTTCCTTCTTTTTCTCTTTTGTCAGTACCAGAGTTTGAACTCAGGGCCTCATGCTTGCTCTGCTTGCTCCAATTGAGGCTCATGCTCTCCCACTTGAACCATACCTCCAGCCCTGCTTTATGTTGGTTCTTTCAGAGAACCAAGATTTTCCAGATCTGTTTCCTAGGTATATAAAATTACACACATGACTATCATCATTGTTTCTTGAATAGGGTTTTCTGTGTGTATGCCTTGGTTGGGCTGGACAGTGATTTACCCATTTACACTTTCCCTGTAGTTGGGATGAGATACACGCCATTGTGTCCAACTATGGAGATGAGGTGAGGAAAGCAGTCTCACATCTCACGTCTGTACTCCCACTGGCCATAAGCGCCATCCTCCTGATTGCTGCCTCCTACGTACTTAGGATCACAGGTATGAGTCGCTATGCTTGGCCCACAAAAAATACTATCTTAAGAAACAAATCATTACAGTAGGATAAGTTAGTAGATGCTTGAATTTATCAAATATAGAAGAGAATAATCTGATATTGAATTTTCTCATAGTATTTTTCACTGTATAATCAAACTTATGCCAATAGCCTTGGTCTTAAATAGAAGTTCTTAAGTACAATTTTTTTCCCTGAGGGGGTGAGGGAAGGACTTGTTTTAAGAGCAGAAAGAAAATGATGGACTCTGAAACCCTTAGGCCAAGAAGGCGATTTATTATGCTTTACTATGTATTTAAGACTAACCCTTGACACCAGCCTTTTTTTTTTTTTTTTTTTACTATTTTGATGATTTATCTATTTTGGGAGCAAATATTTTTATTAGCACAAAACTTGAAGAAGTTTAGTGACAAACAGCAACTTTAAAGATGTCATACCAGAAACAACAGCATTATCTGATCACTTTTCTTACCTTCTCTCTCAATTGGAAATAGAGAAGCAGCCCCAGACACTGGGCAGCCATGTGAGACAATAATTTATCTGGCTTTTGGAGCATGCAGATCTATTGGAAAACAAATACATTAAATCACCACTGGAAAGTGTTTTTTACAGCACTCATGTTAAATAGCTCCATCTTTGAAAGAAAATGGCTTACCATTTTAGAATCAATTTCAGTTGATTGTAAAAGCATTCGAATTATATCTCTGTATTTCTCCTTTGCACAGGTCTCCGTGTGAAGGGACACTGTCCTGGTTATTATCACTTTGATCACGGTTAACTGAAGGAGCATCATGTCCTGGGCGCCGCTCACCTGAGCGTGGCTCTCCACACACAAAGGCACATTGGGAATGGCAGTCAGCTTGACAGAGGATGGCTCGTGAATGCCCTGTACACGTTCTGGGTTGGACCGTTCGAAGGAGGGGGATATAGAGCAAAGAGGATCTGAGAAAGCTGGGGTGAGATAAAAGGCATAATCCTGGACTGCCCCATCAAGTGGATCACCATGAAGCACCTTCTGGTATAACTGTCCTAGAACTTCATAGAATGCTTCCATTTTGATTTCCCCAGTGTATCCGGTAAGAAGAGGGTTGACAACTGCAAGTTGTAAATACAGAGGGCTAAGAAGTACCATGCATCTCTTGGATGTTTCCTCAGCAAAGCCTGAAAGAAGAAAAGCAACTTGAAAATTGTGACTGTAACACACACATTACAGGGGAAAGACAACTGTGGCTACTTCATCACTACGTCTTAAGCTGAAAGCAATGTTGATCACTGAATTTTTTTGTTTGGTGGCACTGAGATTTGAACTCTGGACCTCATATTTCCTAGGCAGATGTTTCTTCCACCTGAGCCACATCTCTAGCCCTCTCTGCTTTAAGTTGCTTTTCCGATAGTATCTCATTCTTTTACTGGCACCAGCCATGTGATCCTCCCACCTATGGCTCGAGTGTAGCAGGTTTTATAGACATGCACCACCACACTTAGCTTGCTTTTTGGTTTATGGGGTTTTACTCAGGGTCTTGGGCTTGCTAGGAAGGTGTTCTACGTGAGCCATGCTCCCAGCCCTTTACTGTTTTAATTGCTTTTCAGACAGAGTCTCAACCTTTGTGCTTGGTCCAGATTGGACTGTGATCATTCTATTTATGTTTTCTGTGTAGCTGGAATGATACATGTGCATCATCATGCCCAGTTTTTATTGACTGAGATTGGGGGTGTGTGTGTTTCTTGAACATTTTGTCCTGGCAGGTTTGAAACTGTGATATCCCTGGATCCTGAGTACCTAGGATTACAGACATGCTCAGATCTAGTATTTTTACTTTTGCAGATACCAGGGCGTGAACTTAGCCCTGTACTCATTCGACTTTTCTTGCTCCCAGATGATAATCTAATATTTGAGTCACGCCTCCAGCCCAGTTTTTTTGCTGGTTAATTGGAAAAAAAAAGTCTCTTAGATTTTTTTTCTGCTAAGCTTGGTTTTGAACTACCATCCTCCAGATCTCTACCTCCCACGTAGCTAGGATTGCAAGCAGGAGTCACTTGTTCCTGGCCAGTTTATTTTTTGACATACAGTCTAACTTTGTAGGGGGAGAGGGGATGGGCTGGCCTTGAATTGTGATCTTTCTATCTCTGCTTCCCAAGTGGCTAGATTACAGGAACAGACCATCATGCCCAGCCCCTTGATTGCTGAATTTCTCAAAGTGAAAATTGTAATAAGAGTATTGTTTTAAGACCATATGAGACAATATAGATTTACTTTCCATATGGATTCAAGAGCATATAGTTAGTTGCAGAAATGACAGCTTTACACTAACATTTTTCAGCAGTTGCTAAGCAGGATGCTAAGTAACATTCCTGACCTCCACAGTGTGCCTGCACAGCTCTTCTCAACTCACTACTACACTTTGACTGCAAAGACTGTCTGTAGTCATTGTCAGATGTTCCCTGAGAGGCAAAAATGCCCCAGTTCAAAACCATTCGACTATCTCATGCCTGTAATCCTAGGTACTCAGGATACTGAAATGTGAAGATGAAAGACAGAAGGCAACCCAAGCAGCCAGTTCTATGAGACTCTTGTAGTCAGTTAACCAAGAAAGCTGGGCACCAAGGCATGGCTCAGTGGTAGAGCACTAGCTGTGATTAAAAAAAAAAAAGCCAAGCAATAGCACAATGCCCTGTGTTCAAGTCCCAGCAATCACAAAACCAAGAAACAATGCCCCCTACCTCCCCCCAAAAAACTATCCCTGGGCTAAGTCATATTCATTCTCTTTCTCCAATTTATACACAGAAAATAGACTGCTCTATGGTTAAGCTGATTAAGATCCAACTTAAAACTATATGGCAATAACAAGAATCAATGGCCATCATATGTCACTAAAATGAAACAAGAGGCCAAGATGTGAGGATCTAGGTTGGAAGCAAGCCCAGGCAGAAATGTCAGAGGCTCTTATCTCCAGTTAACCAGCAAAAAACTGGGAGTGGAGGCGTGATTCAAATGGTAGAGTGTCAACATCTACTGAAAATGCCAAATTGAGAGCATAAGGCTCTAAATTCAAGTCATACTACTGGTGTGTGCATGCACGCGCGCGCGCACACACACACACACAGTACCTTATACCTTAAAATGCTTCGTTCCTATACAATCGAGCAGCCCCGCCCCTTTTTTGAATGACCTTGGTGGGAACCCAGGTTTGGTGTATCGGGACCTTTAAGACACCAGCATCTCTTGCCTGGATTTGCAGTCTTCTAGCTCCCCAGGACAGTTTTCTCTATAGAGCACCCTCCTCCACCCCCCCCAACATAAATTAAGAGACGTAAGTCCTTCAAGATCGGAAACCTGCCACACTCTCACGTTTAATCATGCCCCTCCCCCCTTACTATGTGGGCTACAGCTCTGGTTCAGGAAGGGACTCAGGAGATTTTAGGGCTGAGACTCCAAGTCATACAGGACTCCCAAGTGCTAGGAATGGGGTGTCCAGGCTGGGAGCTTTCAGGATGTGCTTCAGTCCCTGGGGGCAGCAAAAGGTATCCCAGCACCAGAGGTGAAGCACTTTCGATTCACTCCACCTGCAAAAATTTCCCCCCAGGTCTCGGATTTGCTAGCTCTGTGTCATTCAAACTGCTGCTCAAATGTCCACTTTCTTAGAAGACCTAAAACAATCTCTCTCGTCAGAACCAAATTCGACTGCAATAACTTGCTTTTAAAAAAACACAAACCTTCGGATAACTAATCTTAGATCCTTTTGTGTGTATCTCCTCGATAAAAGTACACATGATTGCATTTATCTCGTTCTCCGTGTGGTGCGCGTCGGTTAGAGGCTAGCTCAATGAATAAACACAAGTCTGAATACATCCATCTGGCATTTGCCCTCCCTGCTCTTTCATTCACAGGAAACCCAGAGGCTCGCTGTCCTGCGAGGCAAGTCCTTCGCGGAGCCAAGGACAGAGCTCCCGTCGGTCGTCCGAGAGCTACCTCCACCCCGCGGCCTCAGAGAGCCACACACTCACCAAGACGCCGCCATACGAATCCTTGAGGAGAAGCCAGGGTGGGCAGGGACCCCAATCTGCTTCCGGGAAACTTCTGCCTCCCCGCCTCCTCGGTCTCCCGCCTCTCTCGCCGCCGAACTCAAACACCCGTCAGTCAGGAAGCTGGGTCGATAACACTAGGCCTCGGCACTGCCATTCGCGCCCTCAGATGTCCGGTCCGGGCCACCGTAACTTCACTCAATCAGCTTGTCAGCTGATCCTTCCCAGACCCGCATGCGCAGAAAACCTATTCGCCAACCCTGCGTTTCTTAGCAACCGCTTCGAGTCTCTCGGCCGGAGGGGGCGGAGTCTCGGAAGTCACGGCGGGGGAGGAGGGGAAAGTGAGAGAGACCAATCAGAGACGAGTCCCCGCCCCTATCGACGCGCCTCCTCTCACTGTCGCGAATCCTCAGGCAGCTTTACGGCACACAGGAGGCGAAGGCTGCTGGGGTGAGGAGGAGAGAAGGAAGCAGCCGACCAACCAGGTCGTCCCCGCCCCCCCCCTCACCCTCCCCACCGCGAACCTGGTTTACGGCTCTGGGCTCCAGCTCCAGTGCGGCTTCTGATTGGCTGCTGAAGACTTGGTCCCACCCCTGTGACCCCAAAGTGCTGAAGGGAGGGGGCGGGGGTGGCCCAGTGCAAAGTGCATCCCGAAAGCCCCCAGTGCGGACACCCCTCGCTGCTAGCATCTCAGGCCCGGTACGACGTGGGATCTCGCTGTCCCGAGACCTCCTGAGTCCCCCCTTCGGTAAGGTGGGAGCCTCCGGCCCGGAGCGCGGCAGCCCCCGGCTCCGAGTCCCCCACACCCCGAGTCGGCACTTCCTCCCTGCACCCCTGTCCCTGGCTTGCCGGGGGGGCTGAGACCGGCACCCCTAGTCTACTGGAGTTGTCTGGATGCTCCCCGGGCTGGGGCACTGAGAAGAATCAGGAACAACCGTGTCCGGCCCTGCCCGTGGTGCTTCTTCAATGGAGAAGTTGGTGAATGTGGAGGGGGCTCAGAGGAGGAAGAGAAGCAGCAGCTGAGGGAGCAGGTAAAGTCGGTTACCTTCCTCGGGAGGGGGTGGGGGTTAGGGACTGTCGTAGACGTGGTGGGGTTGAGGGAGGGGAAGCCCTGCTGTTCATGTCTGCCAGTCCTTCACACTCTTTTCAGCCTTTTTTCTATGCTTCCTCTTCCCCAGGTCTTTCTGGTCTTCCTTGGAACACTGTACCACTGACTGCTTTCCGACTCCCGGGTTTGAGCCGGCTGGAGAATTATTGCCAAGGGCGTCTTGCCCATCCACCCAAGAATCAGTGGGCAGAGTGCCTCTGACCAGCCTCCTCTATACAGGTAAAAGATACACCGTCCCCTCCCCCATTGTTTATTCCTGGCCCCTACTTCATTAAGCCATGCTTTTTTTTCCAGGTGGTTGCCTGGGAATGCACTTTTTGCTAGACCCTAGTTTCCTAGCAAAGATGAAACAACACTGCCAAATGTCTTGGTTTTAGCAACTTAATAACTTTTGTACCCCCTACTAAGCTATATCCTTCCCCTCGTCCACCTCATCCTGTTTGGTGTGTTTCATTATCTTTTGGTACACTCTGCCATTTACTCTGTCTGCTCTGAGGCTTTGAGACCTTTCTTACCACTCCCGCCCCCACTTCCTTATTCTCTTAGGAATTCTTCAATTCCATGTTAATTGCTTGTTAATTCCGAATGACTCTGCTTTTTAATTAAACTACAATTTACTGGGTTCCCCCCCTCCCCATTCTTTTCTCTACCTCCATCAAGAAATCATTTGTTAACCTAACTTCCAGTGGTTTGGTAGAGGGAAGGTAAATTAATGGCTTCAAATTTGGAAGCTTCAGAAAACAAGTTTTGGTCCTAGAAAAAGTGAATCTGTACCTTAAGTGTGTGAAAGCAGCATTATTAGCCCCTGAAGCCCTTAACTCTGGGATTTTTTTTTTTGAGTCTTGTTATAGATATGGATGGGCACTGAAACTAACAGAAATACTCGGGTGTTCTAGATGAATTTGTTTAAAAAATTAAAAAACCACATAGTGCTGTTAATCACCTGACAAGGTATTTTCAAACAAAGGGATGTTTTGATGTGTTTAGATAATCTGTGGTTCAGTGTTTGGCAGATGTCATATATAAAATTTCTCATTTTAAAACCTTTTCAGAGAATTTGCTAGCTTGAAATTTAAGCGTCTAGTTCATGTCTCATTTCTGCTGCCTATTTTGTTGGGGTCTCTGAAAATGCATCGAAAATTGTTTAGGACACTAATTCCTGAAGGGATGTAAGAACACAAATTATGTAAGAGTTAACTCAAAAAGCAGCCAAGAGTCATTTTCCTACCAACGACAACTAGCAAGAGCATAGTTATTTAGTACAAAGACATACTTAAAAAACCTTGACTTACTGTGTTCCACCAGACTTTCTATCTTCCACAAATTCTAATCTCTGAAGATATTAAGGAAATCAGACAGGTTAAATATTAATTTTTATGCATATTTCAGTTTTGTATGTGTCTTGGGACTGAGGCTTGAGCTCAGGGCCCTTTGCTTTTTCTTGGTCTTTTCTGTTCAAGGCTAGTACTCTACCATTTGAGTCACAGCTCCACTTCCAAGTTTTCATATTCATGACACTTGAAACTGGATGCAAAGACAGTGTTTTCTGAATGGGATTTAGAATTAGTATCGTCTAGGTGTGGTGGAACATGTCTGTAATCCCAGCATTTGTAATTGTAGCATGCAGGAGGTGGAGTCTAGAAGTTCCAAAGGGGGAAGGATTGAGTTTAAGACCAGCCTGGGTTCTTGTCTCAGACAAAAAAGGAATTAGTATCTATCAGTGACTGCTCCATAATGAAATTTTAGGGCAGCTTTTGTCTATGCATAGGAACCAAGGGTACTTAACAATTTTAGAAACTGTGAAGAAATATATAAGTGGAAGACTAGTTTTTTATTTAAATATGTAAGTCACTACCCAGGTGATGTGTAAAGATGACCTCAGAACATTAAGAAAATGCTAAAATATGTGATGTATATTTTTAAAGTTCAAGCCTTTTCTATGAATTACTTCTTCCTGTTGTGAATTTAACTCTAGCATATTTTCTTAGGGTTCCCTAGGTGAGCATGGGAGGTATATTTTCATGTTGGTTGAGTATGTGAGGGTCTGTTACAGTAGACTTGTAAAGGGTAGATATTCCTCTGATTCGTAGGCAGGTCTCATTGTTTAAATAATAGTCCATGGATCTACTGGGCTCTATTATAAATAATAGTCCATGGATCTACTGGGCTCTAATAGTTTCTAAGACCGAGATGGGTGTTGTTAGTCATGATTGAGAATGGCTGGCCTAGATGATGCCATACCAGTAAGATAGAGTATTTACCAATATGGCCAGTTAGGTAGTTACCGCTTTTCAATCTAGCAGTCAACTTGGTGTCAATTCTGTGGCCATTGGCCATTGTATTTGTTTGATAATGACTATATAATCACATCGGGAGAATTAGGGAAGCTATTCAGTGTAGTTTATATTCTAATGCCTGGTGCAGCTTCATTCTCAACCACATGCACTCATTCGGTGTAACACTCAGAAGACTTCCTGGCTCCCATACGGGAGGCTTCTGAGATGGTATCGGCTGGCATAGGGAGTTAATAGGACATTGACCATGCCACTCCATTTATGATACTTGTGATGTAGACTTTGAGTTGTGTCGCATCCGGAAGAGTGAATTCTAAAAATTCCTTTACACACATAAGTGGGTTTTCTGCTGGAGCTTTGGAGCCTTAGATGAGGTGGGCATGATGGAGCCTCGTGGTATACAGACCCAGTGTATAAACGCTCTGGGATGTAGAACTATATTGAATAACATTGTGCTGTGTTTATTTGGGGTTGCTGGCTAGGTCGTCTAGTAGAGCCCCCCTCAACATGCCTGCCAGCCAGGTGCAGGTGCCTTTTGATTGGGCAGTGTAGTTTGTGCTTCTCTTTCCCTGTTGCTTTGAACCATTAGAATCTTTCCTCCTTGGAGCTAATGTCTTCTGCAGGTTGACCATTTGTATTTTTTCAGTTACTTCAGCTGTGTTTTTACAAAGAATTGTTTCTTTTTTTTTGAGTAACAAACTTACCTTGCTTCCTGTGTGAAGACAGCACAATTCTGGTTTGCACCACTTAATTAAAACAAATGGGGAGCTTTCGGTGAAACTAATATGCAAGAGCTAATAATGTCTAATTTTATGGAACAGGAAATGGAGATATTTGTAAAGTTAGGACAGATCCTAAACCTACTTGTTACAAGGATTTTTTAACAACCTAATCAGTCAATTCTAGATGTTCTTTGGTCCTTGAAGCAAAATGTTTGGAGTTTCCCCATTTGGAGTTCATTGCTTCTGTAAGAAAAGCAGGTAGGAGTCATCTTAGTTTCTCAATTCGGAGTTTCTAATACAATATAGAAGCTTGAGAGACTCCTGTACTTTTGACCACATGTAGAGTGGGAAAGATGAAATTATCCAAATATCTATCAACATTGTAAATGTTGGGTTAAGAAAGACTCTTAAGAAAAGTTCCTGTGGGAAAGGAATGGTTACTATAGAAAATTTAAGAGTCTTCTCATCCCTTGGGTACTGTTGCTGCTTTTCTTTGTGATTGAAACCTGTGGAATGGAATTTTGAAACATTGTATCTTAAAGGGTATGAGAAGTTCCCCCCATCTACCACTTATCATGAACTTAAGACTAAATTGCCTCTTTTGTTATTGTTTTGTGCTTTCAGAGGTGACTCTCAAGAGCCATCAGAATGTCAATTCTCAGGGGGAAGTAGCCATTTATGGATTCTCTGTGGACTTCCTTGAACTTTTATTTTGGTAGTATTGGGGGAGGGGGGCTTGAACTAAGAGCCTTATGCTTGATAAGGGGGGGTGCTCTGCTAGTTGAGCCATGCCCCTTTTACTTTGTGTGAGAGAAAATGAAGGCTTAAACTTAGGGCCTCAAGCTTTTGCTTGGCTTTTTTGCTCCTAGCTGATGTTCTATCACCTGAGCCACACTTCTACTTCCAATTTTTGCTAGTTAATTGGAGATCATGGGAATCTGTAGGGTTTGTCTGCTGGGGCTGGCTTTGAGCTATAATTCTCAGATCTCAGCCTTCTAAGTACTTAGGATTATAGATGTAAGCCAGTGGCACCCAGTGTATTTGTTGTTTTAATAGTCTCACATTTATGCCCAGGCTGGCATAAATTATTATTCTATTCACACTTCCTACAGTAGCTGGGATGGCAGGTGTGTGTAACTGTATGTGGACTCCTTGCTGGTTCCTAATAAGCACCTTTATCACTAGACACTACATTTCTTCTAAAGTTTCATCATTTTTTCTTTTCTTTTTACATATTCCTACATGAGAAACTGCTCTGTTAGGTGCAGCTCTCATAAAGCACCAAGAGAAAAATAATTATTGCTTTGATTCTTGGGACTATTTAGTAATAACTTGCTCTTTCATAATTGAAAGAGACACAGCTGACCGGTCATGATCCTGTGTGCGTCATTTTTCCCTGTAGAGATAGATGTACCAGATACGTGCAAGGAGTAGCTTTCTCAAAAATTTGAATCTACGGTTCCTTAAACTGCTTGGTATCGCCAGAAAAATAAAAGGATCCTAAAATGTACATAATTAAAAATAAAACCAAAAAGCAATAACAACTTGTTTGAAGTATCCTAATTGCCTGTGAAAATAACGAAGGCCAAGACCTCCCATGATGTGCCCACATAAGGCAGCGTTCTGTGGACACTGATTTGTGTGATTGAATCCGATGATACAGAAGTATCCCAAGGTGCTGTCCTTCGTGTATCTTTCAATGGGGGGGAAATAACAGCTTTCGCATGATCTTCTCCTGATAACGTTAATAGCTACAACTTCGTACTTTCCTTGGCTCCCAGTCCTCCCTTCCTCTGTGGAAGTAGAGGTGGATATATTTGGAAGCCAACAGATCCAGAGCGGGGTGGGAGAGGGGGTCCTCACAGGCTCAAAGCTACATTTCCATCTCGGGGAGATAGGGGTGTGGCAGACACGCTGGGAAAGGGGTCTGTCTGGCACTGCTCATTCTTGGCAGGTACAGGACACTCCAGTGACCATCAGATCATCTGGGGGAAAAGTGCTAGGCTGCTCATTGAAACTCCCGATTGGCATTTCAGAGATTTTAACAGATTGGCATTTTAGAGATTTTAGCAGATCTAGAGCACAGAATTCCAGAGGCTGACAGCACTGTACCTTCATGTCGTTCATCTCCACTGTTGAGGGGACTGTATACAGTTCTTTCATTATTCTGAATAGAAGTCTTATTCTTTTCCCCCTCTTCCTATTTACGCAGTTATATCAGTACAGATTCTATGTTTACTTTAAACTTGGGGTTCTAGTCCAATTCTGTTTGAAGAATTTCCTTGCTCTGATGATTCCATCTTGAACCACTGAGCCTCCTCTCCATTAGCTTCTTGTCACTTTGACAGAGATCATTCATTTGTTGTGTTATGCTTTTTTTTTTTCTTTGAGGATATCCTTTGCCTTTGGTACAGGTAAGGGAGATGCTTCAGCCACTTCCCTTTCTTAAGAATTCTGCATTCTGTACACTTTGGCCCACAAGAACTGTTCTGATTATCTTGACTTCAAGTAAACATTCTGCCTTCCTTAGAGAAGTTTGACAAGAAAAAGAAGATGGGAGATGCAAAGGAAGACTTGGACCATACGAATGTGGATTGGTTAAATTCTAGACTGCAGCCTGCAGCACCTACAGCTCTACCTCTGTAGTTACTAGGTTGGCAGGCAGCTTCCCTTTGCTCATCTGAGGGTATAAATGACAGGGCTCAGCACCCTCAGCCTCATGGGAAAAGGCCGTCATTCTCCCAGTAGTAAATACCTGGAATGGTGGTTGTGGTAGATGGATGGAAATTGCCTTTCACCTGCCTAGCTATAGTGCTCCATACTCTGGTTTGTCATTTCTGCTCAAGGCTGCTAGCACTATACCACTTGAGCCATACCTTCACTTCCAGATTCTTGTTGGTTAGAGATAAGAGTCTCATGGACTTTAATGCCCAAGCTGGCTTCTAATCATGATCCTTAACATCTCCTAGTCTCCTGAGTAGCTAGAATTACAGGTGTGAGCCACTGGAGCTTGACCAAGTACAGGGTTTAGAAAAAAAATTTTTTTTTTCACAATTCCAGGAGAAGCTGGCAAAAATCATGTTAGCTAATGATTTACCCAGTTTGTTGTGAGCAAAATGTAAACTTCCTGACTTGATACATTTGAGGCACAGGATGAATCCCAGGTTAAAGCCTGTCTCCTTTTATCATCTTATTGCATTTTGGCTCTGGGCACCTGTTGTACTGAATGCAATGGGTTCCTTTTTAGTCTTGTTCCAAAAGATCCTGTGAGTAATAAGTTAAAAAGCAATTCAAAGTCTGATGATAATTTCTCTGTAAAGGAAAAATAATCTGTGCCTGCATCCAGATTCCAAATAAGTGATTTATTCTTTTCTTCATTTTTCCCCCACACCCTTACATTGTTAGGTATGAAGGTTTAAAGGAGTCTAGAGAGTAAATCCTGTTACATACACCATCAATGAGTGATCTAGGTAACAAGATCATCTCCGAGTTGATTACCTCTCTGTTGGTTTGTTGTGAAGTGCTGAGATGTAAGTGTGTCAAAGCTGGACACCGTAACATTTTGTGGCTCTATTGTTTTAGGGAATTTTGCCGTGAATGCTATTTGGTTTGTTTTCTAGATTGAGAAGGCGCTTTGCCTCTGGAGGCTGGACACACGCAGAACATTTTCCCACCATGCTGTGTGAGCACCATGGTTACTAGACAGCCCATAGAGCAAGAGAAGGGACACTCTTCCATGAGGTAAGATGGTGGAGCCTGGGGGTGGAGCACCGCAGTCACACAGGTGTCTGGCTTCCATACACAGCACCTGAAAAGTAAAATAAGTCTGGTAAAGCTTAAGAACCTCAGAACAAAAATAATTGGCTATATATGTGGCTGTATACTATGTACAACAGCCACTAAAAGAAAAGAATATCTTGGTTTCCCTATTGTTTCTCCATCTTTTTCTTGCATAGCAGACCTCCTTTAAGTGCCAAGATAATCACTCCATTTATATACATTCTGTTAAAGATGGCTGTCAAGAGCCTAGATTAAGTTTCCATGTGCTGTCTGGTCCTCAGCATTTTCTCTATGGTTCTGGAAGTGAACATGAACCGCAACTGAAAGGGTGTGTGTATGTGTGTGAGCAGCACGTGCATATGCATCAGTCCTGAGGCTAGAACTCAGGGCCTACTCAAGGCCAGTGCTCTACCACTTGAGCCACAGCTCTACTTCTGGCTTTTTGGTGCTTAATTGGAGATAAGGATCTCATGTGGACTTTCCTGCCTGGGCTGGCTTTGCTCCTCAGAGCTCAGCCTCCTGGGTAGCTTAGTGGGTTAAAATGTCTAAGGTAAGAGAATTTCATTGAAGTAATTCAGAGAGGGGAAACCTCTTACAAAGAGAACAAATTGTCACTGTGTCTCTTACTTCCCAGTTTTGAGGACACAACTATTTGTAACATAGCTTGGAATTTTTAAAATTACATTGCTTGGTATAGGGGTAGTGATGTTTATGGTATATAATAACAGTGTTTTCTGTGCATGAAACCCCAACATTTATGCACACCCCATGATAGTTTCACTTAAGTTCAACTTAGTTTGCTTATATACAGTCTACAGTGTAAAACTGCAGGATAAATTGTTACTGGTGGCAAAATTACCCTGAGATGTCTAACGTTCATATGAGAACAAGATGTCTTTAAAGACTTACCATATAACTTCTTATATCTCAGAGCTTTACACTCTTTCTTTACTTAAATACTTGTGGCTGGTGTTCTACCACTTGAACCACACCTTTACTTCTGGCTTTTTGCTGGTTAATTGAAAATAAGAATCTCTCATACTTGCCTGTGCAGGTTAACTTCAAACCTTAATCCTCATATTCCCCATCCTGAGTATAGAGGATTATAAATAGGAATCATCAACCAAGATAGCTAGGATTACAGTCCTGTGCCACCACACCCAGCCTTAGGAGATCTCATATTGGTTTTGAGTATACCTTCATTTGTGACTTATTAGAGATTGTAAAAGTCCTCTACCGTGTGTGTGTGTATGTGTATTTTTTTTTTTTTTGGTTGGTTGTGGGGCTTGAACTCTAGGCTTGGGCGCTGTCCCTCAGCTCTTCAGTTTAAGGGGAGTGCTCTACCACTTGAGCTACAGCGCCACTTCTGGTTTGCTGGTGGTTTATTGGAGATATGAGTCTTGCAGTCTTTCCTGCCTGGGCTGGCTTTGAATCATGATCCTCAGATCTCAGACTCCTGAGTGGCTAGGATTACAGGCGTGAGCCACCAGCGCCTGGCCATATGAGTAGTATCATGTGTTTAAATCAAAAAAGGCTTAGATTCCTAGGAGTTATAAAGTATATTTTATGAACTTGCTACTTGAATATTTATAGATTAACATGGGAATGGAAATTCAAAAAAAATCTTTGCAAATGTGGCAGTTTAAAAAGAGGGGTGGGTGGTAGCTGGCTCTGGTGGCTCAGGCCTCTGATCTCAGCTACTCAGGAAGTGAAAATTATTAGGAACATCGTGGTTGGAGGCCATCTGGAAAAAAAAGTTTTGAGACCTCATCTCAGTTAATAAAAAGCTGGATGTTACTGTTGACACCTGTCATTCTAGCCACTGTGAATTCTTTTTGGGGGGGTCCAGTTGTGGGGCTTGAACTCTGGGCCTGGGCGCTCTCAGCTCTTCAGCTTAAAGCCACAGTGCACGTCAGGCTTTTTTTCTTTTTGTTTATGTGGTGCTGAGGAATCAAACGCAGGGCCTCATGTATGCAAGGCAAGCGCTCTACCACTGAGCCAACTTCCCAGCCCTCACAGTGGATTCTTACGGAGGAGGATCAAGGTCCAGTATAGCCCTAGCATTAAAAAAAAAAAGTTGTATTTTTAAAAAATACCTAAAGCAAAAAGAGCAGAAGACATGACTCAATAGTGCCTGTCTAGCAAGCTCATGACCTTAGTTTCTGACCCTGGTACACTCTCTCCCTTCACCCTTTCCCCCCAAAAGTAAATTACACATTAAGTGATCTGATATGGAATACACTGATAGAAATAGACCAAGAAGAAATAAATATAATCCGTTTTCCTCTTCATTTACCTAAGGCAGCCTACTTTTCTCCTCAACCTTCCACACCTTAAGCTAAAAATAAGATATTGTTGAACTACTTTAGAGAACCAGCCTAAAGGGTTTCCCCCCTCCTTTTTTTAAACTCCTCACTGTAGATAGAGTGCCTTTAGCCTTCGTATTGTAATAGAGTGATCATTCGGTCCTCGGTGTTTGCTGGCTCTCACCCGAGATGGGATCCAGGCCTTCCATCTCCTCCAGCATGGGTCACATAAATCATATGTACCAACCAGTCTCTAACGGCTGTGCCTCATTCAGGTGCCTGTCCTCCCCCCATTTTCGATAAAGCAAAGCTATCATGTTCCTACATTGTTTATTGTGAGTTTTCAAAAGGCTATAGAAGAAATTTTCTCTCCTAGAAGTTCAGAGGCTTTAGAAGTCATTTGTAATCATAACAACAATCACTGAAAGTTTAGATCTGAAGAGGTACACATTAGCCAGTGGTGTCAAACTGCTTGTCACTTTGAGTGACTGGGTAAGTTCTGTGGCCTTCAGTGCAACAATCTCAGAACCCATCTGTTCTAAACTCGCTCTGTTCTGCCTTCCCCCCAAAAGGCTGCTTCCTGTGACTTCATGACGCCTTTGTGAAAATTAGACTTTGCTAGGATGTTACACCACCATTGTCGAAGGAACCCTGAACTCCAGGAAGAACTGCAGATCCAGGCTGCTGTGGCCGCTGGGGATGTCCACACAGTACGGAAGATGCTAGAACAAGGCTATTCTCCAAACGGCCGGGATGCCAATGGCTGGACCCTACTCCACTTCTCTGCAGCAAGAGGAAAGGAAAGATGTGTTCGGGTATTTCTAGAACACGGAGGTGAGTTGACTGCAAGTAATGCCTTTTATTCCCATGGAGAAACTTGGTATCATATTTAAGCTGGGTGCCGGTGGCTCATGGCTGAAATCCTAGCTTCTCTCAGGAGGCTGAGATCTAAGGATTACAGTTTGATGCCAGCGTGGACAGAAAAGTCGGACTCTTAACTCGCCCAGTTAACCAGCATAATGCCAGACCAGAGGCATGGCTCAAGTGACGGCACTTTAGCCATGAGTGAAAAAGCTAAGCAAGAATGTAAGATCTTGAGTGCAAGATTGAGTAATGGCACACTTATATGAATTATGTTTAGTTCAAAATTCTTTGTGCATGTTAATTTTTAATACTTCTGTTAATAGCCCACATATTTGCCTCCCTTTGTGAATATTCTGTGGCCAAAACTTTCATTTTTGTTTAAAATCAAGATTTTTAAAAGATCATTTAGGTGAATGGTCTTTGTCATCTGTGTATATATAATCAGCTAAGTAAGCTCTACTAAACCACCCTCACCAGGGCTTGGGTAGTTACTTTCCTTTCAGAAGCAGAAGTGGTTCTGGTCCCTTAAAACCAGAGCATTACACAAGGCTCCTCTCTGCAGGTGATTGCTCTAGCAGGGGGACCTAGTACAGGTCCCTTTATTGTTTGAATTTCCTTTTTTTTTTTTTTCTTTCAGTTTGGATGGTTTCTCTTTATTATTAGTTTGAGAACTTCTTCCTTGGCCAAACTGTTCATAGTTTCTAGATCCCACAAGAAAATTGATTATCTGAAGTCTATTTTTTGTTTTTTAATAGTATTAGGACTTAACTCAGCCTCATGCTTGCTAGACAGATGCTATCCTACTGAGCCATGCTTCCAGCCCATTTGGGGCTATTTTTGAGATAGGATCTCACTTCCTGCCTGCACCACAACTTGTCTCTTTGTAGACGACCCACCATAACATAGATGACAGATGCCTGCCACCCACCCAGCAGTGGGTTAAGGAGGTGTCAATCTCTCTTGGAATGTTCTTTCATAGGCTAGCCTCAAAGCATAATCCTCCTATCACCAGCCTCCCTTCATAGCTAGCATTAAGGCGTGAGCCATATCACTCATCAATTCTTTGAGTAATGAAGTTAGAAAGTACATTTGGCATTTTATCGTTTTTATCTATGTAGATGATATATACATTTTTTTAAGACCAGGCTGGACTTTGATCCTCATATTTATGCCTCCCATGTAGCTGGTGTGACGGGGACTAGCCCTCACACCCAGGGTCATTGGTTGAGAATGCTTCTTCTCTTCCTTTGCCTTGAACTGCCATCTTTCTCACCTATCCCGCCAGAGAAGCTGGGATTACAGGACCAGCCCGCTGTGGCTGACCCTCCGACTGCCTAAGTTTACACTTTTGAAGCTTAACCAGTCATCCCTAACTAATACTTCTCCCTCCAGTTGACTGTCAGCTTCTTTATTTCCTTCAAGAGGGAGTATATGTATTTTTATCACTCAGAATTACTTTGTCTATTAACGATGGTGTAAGAGTTCCTGGCTGGGGCTCCAGTTCCTCTTGTACCACTGTCAAGCCTGAGTTGCTCCCCAGCAGTGATGTTCCTTCCTTCCCGAGTGTGCTTGCCACAAGACTAGCCAGAATGGCATGTGCTCTGAAGGGCAGAAAAATAGGAGGAGTCCCACAGCTGTCCTGAGGATCATCTGAATTATGTAAAGGTCGGAAGACAAAGGTATGAGTGTGGACTAATTGCACGAGGAGGCTGGCCCTGAGACCTGCAGTGGTCAGTGTCCTGAAGCCCCAAAGCCGGAACTGCATGCCTGGATTAGTCAGTTGCCCCATGAAGCCAGACATTGCTGGCCTGTGCCTTCTTTGTAGTTGCCTTCCATGCCGTGCCCCTTAACACAAGTTCAAGCCTCCATTCTAAAGTTAATGAAGAGGAAATGTTAGTGGAATGCCAGCAAGAAAAAAAAAAATCCTAAGGAAATAATGAAAGGTGGATGTGTCCGAGCCCTTGAAATTCTGACAGTGCTTAGGAAGTTTAAGACCAGGATCAGAGATCACTTTGTGCAGGTACTGGGATTTAAACTCGGGCCATACCCAGTTGCTTACCTTTTTTGCTCACACTTGTTTTTGTTCATACTCGACCACTTGAGCCACGCCTCCATGTCTTGCTTTTTGCTGGTTAAAATGGAGCCAATGTGTCTCAGACTTTCTTTCCAGAGCTGGCTTCAAACCATCATCCTCAGATCTCAGCCTCTTGAGTAGCTAGGATGACAGGTGTGGTCCATGAGGACCAGCTGGGCTCACACTTTTTTTGGGGCGGGGGGGGAGGTCCGGTCATGGGGCCTGAACTCTGGGCCTGGGCACTGTCCCTCAGCTCTTCAGCTCAAGGCTAGCACTCTACCACTTGAGCCACAGCGCCACTTCCAGCCTTTTTTTTTCTGCTTATGTGGTGCTGAGGAATCGAACCCAGGGCCTCATGCATGCAAGGCAAGCGCTCTATGACTGAGCCACCTTCCCAGCCCCTGAGCTCACACTTTTTACACTAGCTAGTCCTGTTGTATTCTGCTTCTACCTGTATGTGTATTTATCACTCATCAAGAAAGCAAATTTAAAAAAAAAACCTCAAATAGAAGATTCAACTAATAATGACATATTCAAATAAATCACAAATAAAGCCTAAACCTCATCTACCCCCCTTAGTCCTTGCTGCCTCCCAATGTCCAGAAGTAACCATGAGCAGAGTTAGGTTTGGTGCTTATATTTGCAAGTCATTTCCTAATATATTTGGGAAAGTCAGGCTGCAATTGTTGAACATTACAATGCATTTTCTTTTATTCCACAGCAGTCTTTTTTTTTTTTTTTAACTCGGTTTGACTTACATAAGGGGGTCTGTTACTGTGATGTGAAAGTAGCCACAGAAAATAAACCATGGATGTGATTATGTTTTGTACAACTTGGATTAAATAGTGGGGGGTTAAAGAAAAAAGCCAGTGGAAGCCACAGTTGTCTTACAGGTCATAGTAAACTCTGTTCTCTTTTTCTCTCCCTCTTCCCCTCCCCTCCCACTGTATCATTCTTCCTCTCCCTATCTTTCCTAAACCCTTCCCTTCCTATCTTTCCTCCTCTCCCTCCCTTTGCTCCCTCTCTTCATTCTTCACTCCCTCGACCCCATTCATTTGTTTCTTTAAATCCTGTTAATTAATTCATGCATACATTCTGTGCGTGCACGCATGCGTGTTTGTGTGTGTGTGTGTGTGTGTGTGTGTGTGTATAAATAGCTTTATTGATAATCATGGGTCTGGGATGAAGCAGAGTGGTAGAACAGAGCCCTAACATGTCTCTAGCCCTAGTTGGGAGCCCTGGTTACCCTGTCCCCACATGCACACACAGAGTAGAATTCATGTACTGTATAGCCAACTCATTTAAAGTGTACAGTTTAATGACTTTTACTCTGTTCATAGAGCTGGCCATTTATCACCACAATGAATTTTAAAAATCGTCATTACTACAGGAAGAAACCTCATTTGTCTTATTAATACATGCACGTAGGATATACCATCCTATGTTTTGCTATTTCCTTGTTTTAGTGTTTGAGAGAGAATGAAATTTTCTCCGGTGATTTGATCTCCTGAGAAGGTCCTTGCATGTAAGCATGTATGAACTCCAGATTTGAGGTAGCATATGTACTGTCGGTGAGGGAGGCCCCTTAGCACCTGCTTTTGTACCCTGCCGATGGCTGCAGCTGGCACACTTGTTGTCACTTGCACAAGTATTCCTTGCAGGTGGGCATAGGTAGTTTTCCATACCTGCTTCCTTTTTAGTATCGTTCGTGCATCTTGACTTCTGTCACCTAATAGCTTAGTTCCCTGTCCCTAGACAACTAGTTGGATTCCACTGTATGGCTGTCATCCTTGGTCCTATTGTTGGGCATTTTAAATTGTTGTTTACAGGCAGTCATAGAGGAAATGTCCTCCACAGATGGTTTTACCTAGGGGAACATTTCTTTCTGGAATTACACACCTAGAAGGTGAATAATACCTTGCCAGGTGAAGAAAAAGAAATGTTTTTCTCTGTACTGATAAATTGTCCTCTGAGGAGGTTGTCATTGCTTCTGTGCTGTGAGCAGGTGGGGTGGGTGCAGTGCCCCCTCCCCCCTCCCCCCCCACCTCTGCTGGTCGCAGACCTCCAGGTGGCCTGCCCCCTCCCCCATGGCACAGACTGGCCTCCGTTATCAACACTGCACAGCAGGGCTTGTAGGTGCTGATGTCTGTCCTTTGGTAGCTTCCAGCCCTGTGGTCACCTAGTGCCTAGTTGCTTCACTTACTGATGCTCTTATTGGGCAGAAGGCTCCTTTTGGGGGTGGGGGCAGTCCTGGGGCTTAAACTCAGGGTCTGGGTACTGTCTGTGAGATTCTTTTCCTCGAGGCTAACACTCTACCACAGCCACTTCCGGCTTCTCTGAGTAGTTTATTGGAGATAAGAGTCTCACATGCCAGAAGCCGGTGGCTTACACTTGTAATCCTAGCTACTTAGGAGACAGATCTGGGGATCTCGGTTCAAAGGCAGCCCGGGCAGGAAAGTCCATGAGACTCTTAGCTCCAATAAAACCCACTAGAAAACCAGAAGTGGTGCTGTGGCTCAAGCGGTAGAGCGCTCGCCTTGAGCTAAAGAGCGCAGGGACAGCGCCCAAGCCCTGAGTTCAAGCCCCACGACCGACCAAAAAAAAAAAAAGAGTCTCACAGACTTTCCTGCCCAGACTGGTTTTCGAACCGCAATCCTCAGATCTCAGCCTCCTGAAGGTTCCCTTTTAATGCAGGCTGTGTGTGTGCTATTTAAGAGCTGCGTCCCTACAGTGTTAGCACTAGCCTCTTGTTTTCTTCTAAAGTGTTCTGCGACCCTTCAGTTTTGTAGATCTGTGCTGAGGAGCTTTTTGGTATAAAACAGGAAATGTACAGGTACGACTTCCCCTCCCTTCCCCCACATAAAATAGCCTAGCCCTCCTCCCTTCTCCATGGCCC